TTCCAAGTATATTACAAAGCTATTGTAATCAAAGGCAGCCCTAGTGGTCTAGTGGTTAAGATTCAGCACTCTCACCACTGTGGGCTGGGTTCATTTCCCTGTCAGGGAACCACACCACCCGTCTGCCACGCATCATACAGTGGTGGCTGCATGTTGCTGTGATGCTGAAAGCTATGCTACTGGTGTTTCAAATACCAGCAGGGAGCCCCACGGTGGACAGGTTTCACCGGAGCTGCCAGACTAAGATAGACCAGGAAGAAGGACCTGGCCACCCACTTGCAAAAAATTTGGCCATGAAAACCCTGTGAATAGCAGCAGAGCATTGTCTGATACAGTGCCAAAAGGTGAGAGGATGGAGCAAAAAGACCAGGCAGGGTTCCACTCTGCAGTCCACAGAGTCGCTAGGAGTCAGAATTACCTCAATGGCACTAACAGTAGTAATCAAAACAGTATAGTATTGGCATAAAAACATACACATAGATCAGTGGAACAGAATAGAGAGCCCAGAAATGAATTCATGCATATATGGTCAACTAATCTTTGACAAGGGTGCCAAGAATGCACAATGGGGAAAGGACAGTCTCTTCAATAAGTGGTGTTGGGAAAACTGGATATTCACATCAGAAGAATGAAATTGGACTCCTATCTTATACCACACACAAAAATTAATTCGAAATGGATTAAAGACTTTAGGATCTGAGACTATAAACCTCCCATAAGAACACATAGGAAAAAAGCTCCTTGATACTGGTCTTGGCAATGATTTTTTTTAATATGACAACAAAAGCAAAATAAACAAATGGGACTACATCAAACCAAAAGCCTCTGCACAGCAAAGGGACCATCCACACAATGGAAAGGCACCTGCCCAATGGAGACAGTATCTGCAAACCACGTATCTGATAAGGGATCAATACCTAAAGTATATGAGGAACTCATACAACTTAGTAGCAAAACCCAAATAACCAATGAAAATAATGGGCTAAGGACCCGAATAGACATTTTCCAAAGAAGATATTAAGATGGCCAACACATACGTGAAAAGGAGCTCAACATCACTGACCATCAGGGAAATGCAAATCGAAACCATGGTGAGCGTCATTTCACACTTGTGAGAATGACTATTTTCAAAAAGACAAGAGATAGCAAGTGTTGGCGAGGATGTAGAGAAAAGCTAACCCTTATGCAGTGCTGGTGGGATTGTAAAATGGTACAGTCACTATGGAAAACCATATGGAAGTTCCTCAAAAAATTAAAAATAGAACCACCATATGATCCAGCGATCCTACTTCTGGGTATTTGTCCAAAGGAAGTGAAATCCATGTCTCAAAGAGATACCTGCACCCCCATGTTCACTGCAACGTTATTCACGATAGCCAAGATCTAGAAACAAGTGTCTGTCAATGGACGAATGGATAAAGAAAATGTATGTATATACAATGCAATATTATCCAGCCATGAGAAAGAAAGAAATCCTGCCATTTGTGACAACATGGACGAATCTGGAGGGTATTATGCTAAGTGAAAGAAGCCAGACAGAGGAATGGAATAGAATGGTGGTTGCCAGAGCTTGGGAGATGCAGAAAGTGGGGGGATGTTGATCAAGGGGACAAACTTTTAGTTATAAGATGCATAAGTTCTGAGGGTCTAATGGACAGAACTATACTGACTATACTGTTATACTATACTATACTGTTAATGATATGTGACTATAGTTAAAAACACTGTATTGTATACTTGAAATTTGCTAAGTGAGTAGATATCAAGCATTCTCACCAAAAACCCCCAGCTATGTGAGGTGACAGATGTGTTAACTTATTTGATTATGATAATCATTTCACAATGTATACATCTATCAAAGCATGACATTTACACTTTGAGTATATACAATTTTTTGGTCACTAGACTTCAGTAAAACTTTCAAATAAAAAATAAAGCAGCCACAACTAGAAGGACCTGCGACTAAGATATACAACTATGTACGGGGTGGGGCGGGTTTGGGGAGATAAAAGCAGAAAGAAAAAAAAAAAAGATTGGCAATAGTTGTTAGCCCAGGTGCCAATCTTTAAAAATAAGCAAATAAATAAATAAAGCAGATTAGGCATTTCAGAAGAAAAGATTAGCTTACTTTTGAAGATACAGTAATGCAGACTATCCAAAATGAAACAGAGAGGAGGAATGCGGAAAAGAGAGCGCAGAGCATCCGTCATCTGGGCTCATGTGACGCAGACTGATGTGCATGCGATTGGAGTCCCCGAAGGAAATTAGAGAACAGAAAAACATCTCTTAAGAAATAATGCCTCAAAATTCTAAATTTGATGATCTTTCAAGAGGGGTAAAAAATTATGTGCTGAGGAACAAAATTAGGAATACAGCAAACTTTTTGTTGGCAGCAATACAAGCCAAAGACATAGGATCAACATCTTTCAAGTAAAAAACTATCAACCCAAAAATCTACACTCAGAGAAGTTGTCTTTCAAAATCAGAGGAAGAATAAAGATTTATTAAAGTAAACAAAACCTGAAAGAGCCCGACCCATGCTACAAGAATGTTAAAGGAATTTCTTCAGGCAGAAGGAAGATGATACCAGATGGAAATCTGCATCTGCACAAAATAGTGAGGAGTACCAGAAAGGGTGACTACATGAGTAAATATAAAAGACTTAAAGATACTTAAATCTCTTCAGAAGTTAATTGCTGTTAAAAGCAAAGATGATTACATGAACCAGAAGGCAATATTGTTAAGATGTCCATTTTCTCCAGGTTGAACAATAAACTCAATGCCATCCTAACCAAAATCCCAGCAGAAGTGCTTCAGAAATTGACAAGCTGATTACAAAATTTATATGGAAATGCAAGAGACCTAGAATAGCTAAAAGCAACTTTGAAAGAGCAGAAGATTGTCAGAAGACGTGCACTCCCTAACTTGGAGACCTGTTACAAAGGCACAGTAGTTAAGACAACGTGGCATTGACGTGGAGGAAGTCATATAGACCAATGGAACAGAATGGACCCACAAACACGGGGTCCACTGACTTTTGATAATGGTGTGAAGTCTTTCAGTGGATAAAAGATAGTTATTTAAACAAAGGGTACTGGAGCAATTGAATAAGCACATGTAAAAAAACGAACGTTGACCCCTACCTCACACCATATTCAGAAATTACTCAAAATGCATATCAGACCTAAGGCAAGAATTAGAGCTGTAAAACTTCTAGAGAAAAACATGAGAGAAACCTTTGTGACCTTAGGTTAGGCAAAGAATTCTTAGATAAGATATCGAAAGCACAGTTCCTATAAGAAGAAATTGATAAATTTAACTTTATTGAAATGAAGAACTTCTGCTCTTTGAATGATACCATTTAGAAAATGAAAATACAAGCTAGATACTGAGAGAAAATGTTTGCAAATCCCATATCTGATAAAGGGCTTATACAGAATATATAGAGAACTCTCAATAGTCAAGAAAAATAACTTTAAAAAATGTAAGAGACCTGAACAGACACTTCTTCTGTCATATGAACATATATGGATGGCAAAAAAAAAAAAAAAAAAGATGCTGAATATCATTACTTAGGATGGTTACTACTGTATTTAGGAAAACGGGAAGACCTAGTTTTTTACCTCCTGTATGTCTCTCCTTTACTTTCACACGGAACACTTCCCTTCTGACACTTCTGGTCACCAAATGTGTGGGGTTTTTCCCCGCACCAAGTGATTCTCCACGACACCAGCTGGGTGTCCTACAATTGAACTCAGTTCTGACACTATCTGCCTGGAGATAGCTCCAGATCCCACAGGGGAAGGGCTCAGCCCCCAAGGACTGCCCCCCTACTTCAGATGCCAATTATAAGTAGTAGGTTCCCAGGTTACCCACACTTCTGTCCCACTTGTATAAATCAGGGTTCCCACGACCCCCTCTTCAGCTTCGATAATTTGCTAGAGCAGATCATGGAACTCAGGAAAACACCGACTTATGTTGACCAGTTTATTAAAGGATACAGATGAACAGCCAGATGAAGACATACATAGGGCGAGGTTTGGGAGGGTCCCATGCACAGGAGCTTCTGTCCTCGTGGAGCTGGGATGTGTCACTTTCCCGGTGTGGATGTGCTGGTCAGCCTGGAAGCTCCCCGCACCCCATGTTGTTGGGCTTTTATGGAGGCGTCCTTACCTCGGAGTGATCTATCATTATTAACTCCATTTCCCGCCCCTCCCCTCTCTCTGAAGAATGGAGGTGGAGCGGAGAATTCCAAGCTTCTAGTCATGGCTTGATCCTTCTCGTGACCAGCCCCCGTCCAGCAGCCTACCAGGAGTGGCCTCTGGAGGACAAAAGATGCTGCTAGTACTCTTCTCACTTAGGAAATTGCAGTGGTTTTAGGAGCCCTGTGCTGGAACCAGGGACAGAGACCAATATATGCATTCTATTATCTAACAACTGCACACCTATTAGAATGGCTAAAATTAAAAGACTTACCATACCAAATGTGGGAGAGGATGTGGAGGAAACTGGGGTGTCATACACAACTGGTGGGGGTGTAAAATGGCACAAGCCCTTGGGAAGCAGTTAGCAGTTTTGAAGAAGTTAGGTATACCCCGCCCACATGACGAATCCAGCTCCGGCCCCTCCTCCATGGCCTCCAAGCAGGGCGCCCTCCTCCGAACCCCACCAGGGGTTAAGTGAAAGAAAGCGTGTTCGCCAAATTTCATAACAGAAACACTCTCTGAAGTTGGTGTAATTGTTTAAAAATTCAATGTCCAATGCAATTATCTTTTCTCCCCTCTATTAAAAAGGCAAAAGAAAATAAATTTTTAGCCTTCTTGAATCTTTGCATCTTTGAGTTTTTCTTATGTATCTTTGCATTATCTTATAATTTTTATTTGTTGAATTTCTGTCTAGTCCATTAATAGTATTTTAAAATAATCTTTGAAGTTAATGAATGCACATGATTGCTTTTGTTAAAAACCTCCGTATATACAAAAACTATTTGCATCCTGCAGGATCCTGGGAAGCTGATTGAAATCGAATGCCTGGAGTGTGAATTAGAAGCTTTAAGACTTGAAAATAAAATTAAACTCTACGTCCGAGCAGCTGTGGAGGTAAACCTCGACCGGGAGTCAGAGGACACACTCAACTATTTTGCAGATTTCTTATAATTTGTGAGAATTGAGGTTGTGCCAGTTTTGAGGGTGCTGAGGACATGAAAGGGACCCCACTGCTGGCCTCACCCTGTGACTGTCACTGGTTCCAGTGTGATAGGGATACGTGGCCAGCCTCCTCTGCCTCAGTTTCCCACCTTTGAACACGGCCTTTCTGGCAGCAACTCCAGGAGCCTGGATGGTACCTGAGCCACCAGGGCTAACCACCTTTGCAGCATACAGCACGGTCCCCCACGGCTGCCAGGGCCACCTTGGCCTCACAGGCGTGTTGGGCTCATGCAGCCCGTGCGTTGGGCTGAAGGCTAGGGGCTGGGACGAGACCTTCTTCCAGCCAAACCCTCCTGCAGCCTGTGCGGAGCTGGACACCCACACCCCCCCCTGCCCCGGCCCTGCACACGGGTAACACCTGCCTTTGGTGAAGGCCCCCGTGTCTCCTTGAGGGCCCTTTACCAGCCTGACTCATATCCAAGGAGGCAAAAGTCCCCGCCTGCCACTGTGCAGGGCCATCAGCCTCCCTGGGCCTGGAAACTTGAGGGGCTCTGGGGATGTGGAGGGTCATTGCAAGGGATGAGGAGCAGGAAAACAGGCGTGGGGAGAAGAGGGACCCCAGGGATTGGTAGGGAGGCGGGGACTCCAGGGGATGGGTTGGGAGGCAGGACCCCCAGGCGTGTGGGGAGGTGGGTCCAGTGGACTCCTACGAGGAGGTACCATGCTGAGCTCACTGCAGCCGCTCTTGGTGCCTCACTCGCCCCATTTGGACACCAGGGACTTGTTTGGAACATTCCATCTGTAGTCAGAGAGGAGACAGCTGTCTTTTTGATGAGTTGGCAACACAGCACCCGTCTAAATATGATGGCAGAGAATTAGCGACACCTTGAGCTCAGCTCTGCTCTCGTGTCTATTCATTTAACACAGTAGGATCTGGACCAGCTGCCATTGCCAGAAAACGAATCCAGAGATCATTTAGACTACGCTTTCATAAGAATTTTGCAGTTTAAAAAAAGAAACAAAAATCTATTGAAACAGAATAATGGTGGCAAGTGCTGACTTGGAGCCGAGGTAGGGCTCCCCGGCATTAGCTCGTTACCTGGCCGGGCTCTGCCTGCCCCACGTCACCCACCTGGCCTATGCTGTGAATGCTCAGCCAGGAGATGTGGCCTGGCGGAGGGGTGCTATGCTCCACGCCCTCCTCAAGCCCTGCGCGGCACATTCTTGGCCCCCTGGCAGCTATTCCGGTCCTTTTGGGCTTGCTCTCGTGGCTGCCCCCACTAGCACTGCAGTGCTCCAGGGAGGTCTGACTGCTGTGCTGCGTGCTGCCGCCCAGTGTGTTGTCAGCGCTGTGTCTGTGCTGTGTAGAGAAGGTTTACAGAGAGCGCTTTGGCCACCTCGTTTGATTGGGATGCTGCAGCAGAGGCGGCTGTGCTTGTGGTGCTGGGGGCTGCCTGGCTGTGTCGAACACATTCCCTTGCCTCTGCCTCTGCCTTCTGAGGGCCTCAGAAGCTGGGGGCTTTTCAAGGGGCACTGGTTGGAGGGTCTGCAGGCATCGGTTTGTGAGGCTTTGATGGACTCATCTTAGTAGCCAGGTGGCAGGGAGTCATGAATCCCGAGCCTGGGCTGGACCCCATGGCACAGGAGCAGTGTGAGGAAAGGCCCCGAGGGTGTTAAGCCAGAGGCCGTGGAACTTGCCTGAGGCTAGAACCATGGGCAGCTCCATGGGCTCAGGAAGGTGTGGAGCTGGTGAGGCTAGTTCCAAAGGCCCTGAAATGCCGGGTCGAGAGCCTGTCTGCTGGGAAGGGCGCGTGTAGCACAGTCTGGAGGAGGTGTTCTTTGGGTAGTGTTACCGACCTGGATTCAACCTGGGGTGATGCAGCCAACTAAGCACCCGTCTTTGGCGATCTACCCCCCTGCCAAGTCCTTCTCTAGCCCTCCACTTCCACAATTGGGGCAGGCGGGAAGTATGACTCACGAGTCTCAGATCCAAGTGGAGGGATCTCAGTGGAGAGACCACCCACAGGTCCCATCTGGGTTGCCAAGTTGTTACCAAAAGTTTGGTCTCTGATCCCGTTGCCAGTCCAAATAATGAGAACAGAGTCTTGGGTGAAAAAGGAAAGGCTTTACTTTGCTAGGCAGAGGGGGCAAAGCAAGGGCCAGTGCCCCCAAAATTGCTAGCTCCCCATTAAGAAATGGGTAGGGGTTTTCATTTGAGGTTTTAGGTAGGGGAGAGGGGCCATGGCCTTCTTGGTCAGCATTTTCCTTTCAGCCTCTGTCTGGGGCTGCTTCCAGTAGAGGAGACAAAGGATTTCTCAGCTGAGCGTCCTTGGCTGTTTATCTCCACGGTGGAGATAGACTCCGACGTCAGGAAGCTGAGGAGTTGGGCCAAGGAAGCTTCAGTTTCTCGATATTCTCTGGACCTGAGTTTCTCTGTAAAAGAACTTCAAAGTCCTGTGATTAGTCACAACTTTAGTGGGAGCCCAGGGTGAGGTCATCTGGACTTGAAGAATCTGTAACTTCTATTTGGCTCTACAGCTCAGGGGGTCAGAGGTTAAAGAAACAAACATTTGCATATGAGCATAACCAAGGAACCAGGGAACTGGAAATGTGTGCTTTTAGTTTCAACCCATATAGGCTGGGTTCACTGTAGGCGAACGGATATCAGGGCTGATATTAACTAAGAGCCGGTAACAGTAATAAATGTAACAAGACATAAGCCCCAGTAAATAGAGGACCAGGGAATATGCAGACTTGGATCAAGACAGTTCACGGAAGATGCTCCCATGGATATGCAGAGCCCATTCTAAGCCTTTTAAGGAAGTGTCTTTTAAGGCAACCAGTCCCTTCTAGAAAAGATCACGCCGACCATTTCCGTGGACAGATTCATCTCTGGGCCTGGCCCACCTGCTGCCTCGTGACCCTCAAGCTTCCTGGGCTCGGGCACAGGTGGCAGACCTGATAACTGGTACTTGTCTGTCGGTCTAACAAACTGGTCAATGTCTTTTGTGCAGACCCAGCTGAATATAATACAGAGACTTGACATCGTGCTCCAGCGAGCCATCCGCCTGGGTGACCCCCAGGTCATCCAAGTGGTTTGTACCACCCAGTGGAACATGTGTCTCCCTTTGCTGCAGCACAACCTGAGGCACCACCTGCGGAAGCCGCTGACCAGCATTGTGGAGATCTTGGAGAAGGTGGACAGGTAGCTGTGCCTCTCTATCTTGGGCTGTCCCCTCGGAGACGGGTGACGCGTGGGTGGGAGAGGGCTATGGCAGAATCCTTCAACAACACCATAAGGGGTAAGGATAAGAGACAAGGTTGAAATCCAACTCATTTTCCCCGAAAGTGATGCAAGCAGGAAAATCCAGCTGTATTCAAATAGGGCTTGAATGGCTTTGGAATGATAAAGCCATCAGTGTGCCCTGAGCAGGGCTAGGCTGCCCATCACCACCTGCTAACATGAAGTTAGAGCAGCCTGCATCCCTGCACTGAAGGCCTACAAGCCTCTGGGGACAAAACATCGATGAAATTCAGGTCACCTGTGCTCCATAAGCTCCGATGGAGGGGCCTGCCGTAGCCAAGGTGTGGTCAAGAGCTCGCCATGAAGCCTGCATCCACTCACCTGGTGTCTGGAACAGTCACAGGTCAGAGTGAGCACTGTGGTTCCCTGGGCAGTGCTGAGATGATCAGGACGCTGTGCCTGCTGCCCTCACTGGGTCTAAGTCCTTCACCACACACTTGCTGAGCAGTGACCCTGCGTGAAGGAGCATGGCCAAAGCACCTACACCTACGTCTACACCCGCACCTGCATCGACACGCATACCTACACCTACACTCGAACCCACACCTATACCTATACCCACACATACACCTACACCCACATCTGCATCTCCACCCATGCCTCCTACACCCTCACCTACGTCTACACCTGAACCCAAACCTACACTTACACCCGCACCTACATCCCTACACCCACACCTACATCTATACCCACACCCACACCCACACCCACATCTATGTCTACACCCACACTCACACCTCTATCTACACATGCCGCTGCATCTACACGCACACCTACATCTATACCCACACCTGCGTCTACACCCACATCCGCACCTGCGCCTTCATCTGTAGCTTCATCTACACCTGCACGACACCTACATCTATACCCACACCTACACCTACGTCTACACCCAGTAAGGCAGAAGGTGAGTAAGGCAGAGCGAGGGGAGGGGAGAGAGGAGAGGGCTGCCGTTTTAGGCAGGTGGTCCCAGCTGACCCGCAAGAATATGACCTTCAGTCAGAGCCCAGACAGAAGGGAGGGGACTGGGGACTGGGGAGGTGAAGCCCCAGGAGCTGAACCCTGGGTACAGGCTGGAAGGAGGGCTTGTCGAGGCCCCAGGGACGTGGGTTATCCTGAGTGGGTGTGGGCATCCGAGAGCCTGAAATGGAGGAAGGGTCTTCAGGTGTCAAATGATTGTCCTGCTGCTGTTGAGAACAGCCTGTGTACAAAGCTGGCAGTGGGAATCTGGGCAAGAGATGGAGGAGAAGACAGCAGACCTGGGAAATGTGTGTCTGGAGCCCGGGGAGAGGGGGGCTACAGAGCAGAAACTGGGAGGTCTCCTAGGGCTCCAGAAAGGGAGGAAGCCTAAGGTGGCACCCTGTTTGAGTCAAGAGGGCAAAGGGAGCCTCAAAAGGACAAGAAACAATGGGCAAGGCAGTGGAAGGAGGACACGGGTCCCGGCCAGTGGAGAAAGGGCTTTGTCAGGAGGGCTCCTGGCCTGCCTCAGGCTGGGGTGATGCCTGGTGGGTGCAGGGCCTGTTGGAGCAGGTGCAGGAGAGAAGGGACAGGGGTGGGACAACTGGGAATGTGCCATCTGACAGGGGCCGTGAGTGGGTGAAGCCTGCCAACTGTGTGTCTCGCTTCTTGGGTGTATTCTGTTTTCTCCTGGTGGGGGTGTCGTGGCACGCTAGGATGCTGCAGAATGATCCCTCCTCAGACTAGGGGAATTAATCCTGCAGGGCGAGCAGATGCGTGGGAACGGCCTCCTATTGCTCCATTTTCTGGGGGAAGTAAGAAGTGAGAGAGAGGCTGGGAGATGGGGACTTGGGGTGTGGGCAAGAGAGGAGAAGGTGTGGAGGGTCACCCCCAGGAGAGCAGGTGCCGGCAGCAGAAGGGCCACGAGATTGCACGGAGGGGCCTGGGGAGAGCTGCCCTGCCCCGTTGCTCCTGTGAATAATGAAGGCTGGGTTTTGTTACCTATTGAGCCCTCTAGATGGGTGGGAAGGCACAGGGCCTGGTCATCAGCGGGCAAGGAGAGCACACCAGCGTCCTCAAGACCCTCCATTTCCTACCCTACAGGGCTTGTGTGTGTGCAGATGCATCTCTCTTCAAATCTGGAGATGTTTAACCATTTAGAAAACAGTTTTGCCCTCTGGAATTCCACTCGGATGTATGGTGGAGCTTCTCGTCCATGCTCAAGGCCCTCACTTCCCCGTCCCTCCATCTTTGCGTCCTTGCCGTCCTGCGCGCAGTCACACTGAGTTCTGACAGACTGCCTCCTTTCCATCGGCGCTCATTTATTTTTCAAACTCTCAAATTATTTCTTCTCTTTAGCCTTTTTTTATTTTAATGACTTTATTTCTCATTTCAAAAAATATCCTTTTAATTTATTTTTGTATTTGTCTGATTTTTAAAAATAACTCCTAGTTCTCCTCTTTTTCTCTGATAATTCTTTTCCTAATTAACTTTCTTGAGATATAATTGCATACAATAGACCGCACACATTTTAAATGTGCAGTTTGATGAGTTATTTTATCATGGATGGGGGTTGAATGTTGTCGAATGTTTCTTCCGCAGTTATTAACATGATCACATGAATTTTCTCTTTTCTTCCTTGATGTGGTGAATTACACAGATTGATTTTTGAGAGTCGAACCAACCTTTTATTCTGTACATGTTGCTAAGATAGTCGCTTTCTTATGTATTGCCAGGTTTGATTTCCTAGTGTTCTGTTAAAGGTTTCTACGTGTATGTTCATGAGGATGTTGGCCTGCGATTTTCTTGTTTTGTAATTTCTTTGTCAGGTTTTGATGTCGCGGTGATGCTGACTTTGTAACATGAGTTGGGAAGTTGGGAAGTGTTCTTTCTCCTTTACCTTCTGAAGGATTTGTGTAATATTGCTGCTTTTGTCCTTAAGTGTTTGATAGTCCCATGAAACTCTCTGGGCCCGGGGGTGATGCTCTGTGGTTATGTTTCTGTGAGAAGGTTTTCTAGCTGACACATTCTGTGGGGTTGAATGCTAAGGAATTCCTACTGGTGGCTGAAGGCACAGCCCATTCTTCCTGAAGGGGTCTGGGCGGCTCCTGTCAGCATCCTTTATATTTGCTCATGCTGTGGCTCAGGTCTTGTGTGTCCCCCTTTCTTGTCTGCTCATTCCAACAGTTACTGAGAGGAGAGTGTGAAACCCAGCTCTGCCCGTGGGTCTCCCTCCCGCTCCCTGTGGCTCTCTCAGCTTTGCTCAGTGTTTCCGAATGCTGTGTAACATGCTTGGGCTTGTCGTCTCTTGTGACCTCCTGGTCTCTGCTGACTCCCTTGTCTGGAGGGCTCCTGTGTTGGATGTTAGTACAGCCTCCCAGCTCCCTGTGCTTACTATTGTGCAGCATTTCTTCTTCCATCCTTTCAACTCTCCCCCTCTGTGTATCTTCAAAGCGTAAAAAACAGCTTTTAAGTGCACGTCTTGCCAACAGCATACAGCCCAGTCTTCCTTTTTTACCTAGTGTGTCAATCTTTGTCTTAATTGGAGTGTTTACTCTCTTTGCATTTAGTGTAGTTTGAATTTGTCTACAATTTCATTATTTGTTTTCATTTGCTGCTCATTCCCTGCCTTCTTTGAGGTTAATGGAATTTTTTTAGAATTCTGTTTCCTCTGTTGGCTTCTTCGTTTCTCAGCTGTACCTCTTGGGGAGGAGGCATGGAGGGGATTGCTCTAGGGCTAAATATACCTCCCTACTCACCAGAGTCGCGCAAGGCCAGTGCGGCACCACTGCCCCCACTTCATGGCGGTAACCCCCCGTGACATTGCAGTCCATCCACCCACCTGCTCTCTCTCTGCAGCTGTTCTCGTGTCTTTTACTTCTAAATATATTATAAACTGCATCTTATACAGTGTGCTCATTTTGCTTTTAGCAGCCAGTGGTTTTTTAAGGAAAATTACAGAGAAAACAATAGTCTCTTGCGTTTATCCATGTCTTTGCCAGTTCCACTGGCTCTTCTCTTTTCTCCCCAGATCCAGGTTTCCATCTGGTGTCATTTCATCCTGAAGGGCTTCCTTTATTTTTCCTGCAATGTGTGACTGCAGGTGATGAATTCTTTCAGCTTTTGTTGATCTGAAAGTGACTTTGCCTTGCCCTCACCTTTGAAGAATATTTTCACTGGTTGTTGGATTCTCTGGTTACAGATCTTCTTCTTTAAACACTTTGAAGAAGTTTTACTTTCTTCTGGCCTTCACAGTTTCTGATAAAAAGTCAGGAGTTATTTTCAGCATGGTTCTCCTGGATGTGATGTGTGTTTCCCTCATTTCTGTTTTCAGTTTGTATCTCTGACTTTTGTTTCCAGCCTTTTGATTCTGGTATTCCTTGGAGCTTTTTTCAAAAATCCTGCTTGGGGTTTGCTGAGATCCTCAGATGTGTAAAATGATGTTGTCATCAGATTTGGGAAATTATCAGCTACTATTTTGTCAAATATATTTCTGCTCCATTCTCACTCTCCTTTCCCTCCAGGGCTCCAGCTACACATGTGCTAGAAAGTTGAATGTTGTGCCATGGGTCCCTAAGGCTCGGTTCATTTCTTTAATCTTTTGCAATCTGTTGTTCTGATTGGATCATTTCTGTTAATCTGTCTTCAGGTTCACTGACTCTTTTTTCTGTCTTCTCCAATTTGCAAGTAATGAGTATTGTTTTCCTTCAATTTTTTGAACATATTTATATTTGTATTGTTAATATCTGCATTAAAGAATTCGTCTGCTAAACCCACCATCTGACCCGTCTTGCGTCCTGACTGTGGGTTGCGTTTCTCTGTTCCCTGCAGACTAATAATGTTTCATTGTGTGCAGCGCACTCTAGCGTCTTTGGATTCTGTTATCTTTAAAAAAGTGCTGATTTTGTTCTAGTGGGCAGTCAGTTACTGGCTGAGAATGGACTCCCTGTGTTGCTGGGGTGCTTGGAAGGTTGAGGTGTCCCCCGTCTGTCTCGGGGGACTCGCCCTCTAAACCCCAGCACACCTGTGGCCTCAGCAGACTCTGACCTGAGGTTTTCTTTGGGTGGGTCTAGAGCAGGCCTTTTTCCACTGGATGGTCCTTGCTCCTGGGGTGAGGCACCTCTGTGGAGTCTCAGCTGGATGTCCAGAGTGCCAGTGAGCGATTAACCAGGTCTTTCCTCTGTGGCTGGGCAGACCTTCCACAGCCCGTAGCATGCTGTGCCCTCTGGCATACCTCGTATCCAGCATTGCTTCTCAAGCCTGGAGCTGTCTCACCCTGCACATGTGCAGCCCAGCCCTTGGTTGTGGGTTCTTGGAGAGCCCATACACAGCCCTCTTGGGTTCTGTGCAAAGTCCCTCCCTCCGTCCCTGCCTACAACAGACTCTGGCTGCTTCGACAGCTTGTGCTCTGATCTCTGCTTCCGTGGCTCACTGGGCCCTGTGCCCTACCCACAGTGCCACAGGAAGCCGTCCCAGGCACAGTGGGCAGTCACAGCCTCATGCCTGACTTTCCTTCTCCAGTGGCCGTGGTCTTGTGCTGCTCAGAGCCTGGTGCCTGAAACAGCTGCCTCATGTATTTGGTCCAGCCTATAGTTGTTATGCCTGGCAGAGTTACTTTCTCACAGTTGGAAGAAGAGGTAACTCTGAAAATTACTCATTTCTAAGTCCTTTTCAGCTGGTCCCATTCATCCTGTTTTGGCAGGTATGGATTCTCTCACTCAGATCTGCTCTGCTTACTCACTATCATCATGGCAGTCTCCTAGAGCGAGCAGTTTGCCAGGTAGTTCCTGATGTGGGCTGTTCTGCTGTGTAGACCTCTCTGTTGTGTGTGTAGGGTCGGCTTCCCTTGACCAGGTCTTTGGATCATCCAGACCTGGATGAGTCTCACATTATGGTATTTAGGGCTCACGCTGCCCAGAGGAGCGTGATTCAGTGCTGGATCCAATCCTATTTTGTTGGCTTCTTCTTTTCCTGCCCCTGGCCAGGGGACAGTCACCTGTTTCTGGCTTCAGTCTGGACTTCTAGGCAGAGTCTGTGGAACCTGGTTCCCTGATGGGGAGCACAGACTTCACCCTTGGCTTTAACCAGGACCCCTCAGTGGGCGCGAGAGGCCCTTTCCCGCCCATGATTCCTGGCTCCCCTGGGCAGCAGAGCTCCAGCCTCCTGGCTCCTGGGCTCCCTGCTCCTCATCCTGAGGTTACATGCATACGATGTGACATTCACACCTCCGTCTTGGCTGAGAGTCCGTGCGGGGATCCTGTGGGACTTTCACTCCACCGCCTTTTTTGGATTTGCTAACGCTGTGTCCCAGGGTAGTGACTGTGATGTGGGGGTCTCCGCATGCTAACGATGGAAAGGCTTTGAGGGACACTTTATTTACTTGTTTAGACACAGTGACTCCAGCCCCTACCCAGCCCCCTGAACTTCTAGCAGAGGCAGCAGCAGCAGCGAATGCCAGGCAGGGGCGCGGGGTTGCGGGGCACAGGGCTGCTCTCAGCGGATGTGTATGTCAGGGAAGAGCTGCAGCCCGTGAGACCAGAGTGAGACACCAGAGCAGAGCAGAGAGCCCCATCCTTCAAGGCAGAGACTGGGCTTCAGGGTGTGGACAGTGGGAAGCGATGGACTTGTATTAAAGTCCCCTTGTTGGCAATGCCAAGAGCTGTCCAGGAGTGATGGGCTGAGATGGCGCTGACAGACGGAGGTGGCGGGTGGTAGTATCACATGCTGCCCGTGCTTGCTGAGCCCCTCCACCTTGCTTTCCCCTCAGCAGATCTGGCTAGCACGACCCCTGGTTACCCACCTGCTGTTCTCATCCCTGGAGCCCAGGTCCTGGCGGCTCTCACCAGCTGGGCTCTGAGATCTCCTGTGGTCTGCAGGGACCTCCTCTCTTTGTCCCCCTGTGTGAGTCCTCAAGGCCACGCAGGGTGGGACCTGGAGGATGCTGGAAAGCCAGGAGCCCAGGAGGCCCACTGCATACTTCCTCTTGAGGGTCTCCCAGGAAGCCAGCATGCCCTGGGCCCTTGTAATGCTGTGCTGTCCCTCCCCAGCCTCATGGTCCTGCTCCGCTGCCAAGCACACATGGAGATGGCCTGCATCGAGGAGGATGAGGACCGGCTGGAGCCTGCCATGGAGCACCTGCAGAAGGCCATGCGCCTGGACAGCCTGGGCCTCTACCAGGACAATCTTTGGATCGCCTTCAACCGGCTGCACCTGTGCACCATGCTGTACCAGTCCCCCGAGCGCCCCGAGGATAAAGCCACCATGGCCATTGAGCAGGTGCTGGCATGGCCTTCTTAGGGCTTGCCCACAGGACCTCGGGCCCTGCTGGCTCAGTGCCTGCCCAGGGCAGGCTTGTCCGGGGTGTGACCCACCTGACAGACCCCCGCAGTGCCTCTTCAGAGGCTACGAGTACTCCAAAAAGACAAGAGATGGTGCTACTCGTCCCAGCATCTCTTTCTTTTGCAGGCAAAAAAAGCTATCCCGAAAGACAGTGTCAGGAAGAAGCGGGCTCTCCTGGTGAACGCGGGCCTGGCCCTTGCCCCTGACGCTTTCCAAATTGTTCTCGACAGTGAGAATGAGGCCAAGGGTACGTGCTGTCCTCACTCCTGCAGCCCGAATGTTCCTGCTCAGGAGCTGCCCTGGGCCGCGTGCTATCTGAGGCAGACCCTTGACCCGACATGTGTGGGGACCACACTGCACCCCCGAAGGTCTGAACCCACCCGCCCCTGACCTCTGCTGGCCTTGACATGTAGCCTTGGTCTCTGGAGGTGCTGAGAGGCATCTCCACTTCCCACTCTGTATCAGCCAGCTCAGGCCACCAAGACAAGCGCTCCCGACAGCGGGGCGGCTTACACGACAGGATTGATCCTTGCATGGCTCTGAGGGCCTGAAGTCCGAGATCGAGGTGTCGGCAGGCTGCCTCCTCCTGGGGGCGGGGAGGGAAGGATCGTCCAGGTCTCTCTCCTGGGCTTGCAGACGGCCATCTTCTCCCCGTGTCCTCACACTGTCTTCCCTCCATGTCTATTTCTGTGTCCAGATTCCCTTTTTTTTAAGGACGTCAGTCATAATGGATTGGGGTCCACCCCAATGACCTCATTTTAACTCAATTATCCCTGTAAAGACCTTGTCTCCAAATAAGGTCACATTCTGAGGTTCTGGGGCTTGGGGCTTGATCACATCTCTTTTGGGGGGGGTGCACTTCCGCCCACGCCACTGTCTGAGGCATGAGGACGAGGTCAGGGGCTGCTCTGCCATGTCTGTCTAGATGACAGTCGACGTGAGTAGACCTCCTCTCTGTCCCCACTCATCCCAACCAGTGCCTTTTATCCCCACGGGGATTATAAACTAATTATGGGTAAAGGAATGGAAGGCTGCGTTACCCTCAAGGGTATTGCACCCTTGTGGACGGCAGGTCTGCGCCTGGCTCGGGGCTCCCTCCCCCATCTTCTCAGGGTCCCCCTCATGGACATGACCCCAGCTGTCACGCAGACAGGAGCTGCGGGAGCCCTGCTGCGGATCCGAGATGAGGGAGGAGTCCTGCCCCAGGGCTGGAAGGAAGGTGGCTCTGGGAATGACCCTCGCCCAGGGGGGCAGCGTCCTCCTGTGGCCTCACACTGGTCATTCGCCTGAGTCATTCTCATGGAGGAGGGGGCGTCGTGACTCCCTTGTGTCATCTTGTTCCCACAATCTGAGGAGTGCAGGCTCTGTCGGCACTCACACTACATACACCTGGTGCTCTTTTGATGCATTCACCTGGAGATGCACGTTGTTGGCCTGCCTGGCCGAGGGGGCATCCATGGGGCTCCGCGAGCTGCTCCTGAAGGGGAATGGCCTGTTGCACTGGGAGGGCGGGAGGTGGCCTGGTGGCACACGTGCTGTGTCCTCCATGCAGCTAGCTGGGCAGCCTGGGCTCTAGTGCCCTTGAGCTCTCAGAGTTGGTGCCTGATCTGCCAGGAGGAGCCTCTGACGCCAAGCAGCTCAAACTGCTGGGCCTTGGGCGTGGATGGTGGTGTCAGGCAGGGACAGGCATGAGGGGAGCTGACCCTGGGACTGGGTCGGTGGAAGAGGCGCAGGGCAACGAGTTCCACCCTGAAACATGCTGCTCCAGGTGCCTGGTGGCTTCGCGCACTCAGAGGCGCAGTCGGGCCCACCTATTTCCATCAGAAGATGCAGAGCCCCCAGGGAGCACTCTCCAGTCTGTCTGGAGTCCAGGGCCCTGGGGCTACCGCAACGGTGCCAAGGGCAGATGATACGAATGTTTCCTTGGATAGAGGCAGGTTCCTGCCAGTCGTGTGATCCCCTAACATGCGACGTCAGCACTTGCATTGCGTTTTCGGTCCTCAGTTTCCACAGGGAAGAACAGGGGCCGGTTCACCTACCTCTCCTCGAAGGCGCGGCACCACATTGTCAGCGTGGACAAGGCCACCGGGCACCTGCGGCGTTTGGGGAATGAGAACGACAAGGAGCGGTGAGTGAGGAGAGGGAGGAGGACGCAAGCCAGCCCGGTGGGTCTGTCACCGAGAGCAGTCATTGTGGCCAGGTGGCAGGAGGAGGAGGTGCCCGGCTCCTGAGCAACCCGGCGGACAGAGCTCCCCGTTGCCTGTGAGACAGCAAGCCACAGCCCCAAGGGGGGTTTTTGTCACTCTGTTGAGACTGTCCTGGCTCCAGTAGGACGCCCAGCGGGCCAGGTTTCGTGTGTGGTTGTCAGGATGCAGTCACTGCAGGGGCTGATTTCTGGAGTACACTGCAGGGGGCTTGACCCAGGGCGACTGCTCGCAGGGAGGGAAGTCAGCTGTCACAGTGACGCTTGGCCAGTGGGAGCTAGACAGCTGCCCCCTGCCGTCTCACCCCTGGCTCCAGGGGCAGCCCCACCCTACCCAGGACCATCCTGCTGCCTCTAGGCCCTGGCTGTGAGGATTGATTTATCTCAGGGTCACTCTTTGCGACCTTGAAGCTATAGCACCACCAGTGCCTCTTTCTCACAAGCAGTAGTTGGAGGTGATTTCTGGTTTTGCCCATCGCATCTCTGAACGTCTTCCCTCCTTTCACTCTTGGTGAGCAGAATTCAGATTTGGGCTGAGCTTGCCAAAGTTGCCCGGAAGCAAGGCGTGTGGGACGTTTGCCGGGCAGCGAGCCGCTTCTGCCTCCTGTACGACAAAGTCAAGGTGAAGAAGCCGGTGAAGTGGAAAAGAGGTACGTACTCCCCGGCCGCACCTGTGTGCTGAGGTGCCAGCCAATCAGGACCAGCTCCGGCTTCACCAGTTCTCCGAAGGGCCGGTGGCTGCCCTGGCCACAGTGGTTCAGTCCCTCAGGCGGTCACCGTGCAAGGGCAGTCCCGGCGGGCTGCGGCCATGCTGTGCCTCGCTTCCTGGAAGAGGCCAGGATTTGGTCCTGAGGTGACAGAAAGGGTCGTTATGCCAGGACTTGAATTGAGTGGGGTCTTCCCACGGAGATGGGATTTTAAATACATTTGCAGCTGACTGCCAGGCACAATTTATGAAGAACAACGATCACATAGATACTGCTAATTGTTATTATTACTGATAACGGGGCCCCTGCGTACATCTGGCTCTTGCCAGGCTGGCTTCATGTGCCCTCGTCTCATTTGATCTTCAAGGTCACTCTGGGGTCTTCGGGGGCTCAGAAAGGGGAAAGGACCTGCTGTGAGTGAGAGAACGGAGGCCGCATGCTGGGAGCCTGCAGACAGAGGCTGGAGGACAGAGGGCAGAGGCCAGCGGCGTGCATGGCGCCGAGTGTGGCACAGCCTCCTGGACAGGCTGGTTTCTCCACAATGTGGGCAGGGAGCTGGCTCCCCCCTGTCAGCACTGGGTCTGGGGCCAGACGAGTCCAGCATGCAGGTCCCTGCAGGAGCTCTGGTCTAGTGGGCGGTCAGGACACAGGGACGTGCCAGGGCTCCGAGAAGGCCTGGAGCATGGGTGTTGCAGGCTTGGAGGGGCCGGTGCTTCTCAAGCACCAGAACTGCACAAGCAAAACCAAGAACCGCAGGATTGGGAGTGTCAGCTGCAGATTGGTTGTGGCTGAGCTGGCCATGGGGACACCTTAGCCACCCCACAGGGATCCCTGCACACTTGGGGAGGTCTCCTCCAGCCCTGTCCTGGGAAAAATGCCCACCACTCAGAGACCCCTGCCTGCCCCCCAGAGCTGAGAAGAGGCCAGGAAGCCTCGCATTTTTGTTTGTTAACTAGAGAAGATGTGCCGTGTCTGACCACATCTGATGCTCTGCTGTTCCCTCAGGAAAGAAGAAGAAAGGTGGAGACAGCTCGGTGCAGGATACCTGGGGCCCGTCAGAGGCTGTCCTGCAGAGGCAGGCGTCCCCCAGCCTGCTGCGCAAGTTCGCGGAGGTGGGCTTCATCTGCGCTGAGGTGCGTCCCCTAGGCAGCCTTGCGGGGGTGCCGCGCAGCGTCGGCCCGCGGGTGTGAGGGCCCGCTCGAGTGTCCTCTCCTCCTCTGCGGTCGCTCGTGTCTGCACTGGTGCAGTGTGCTGACCCTCCGAAGACGCTATCCCCCTGCTCCACACTGCTCCCTAAATAAGACTAGATGAGCAAGATCTTCTAGAGAAAATCATAAATCAGAATGCGGTGTGTTGATGCAAATGTTTCCTTAGAAATAGTTTCTGAATTGTGAATTCAAAGTCACACGGGTACTACGGTGAGTTACTGCATTTGGGGAGGGGGTGTTTGCATCAGAGTAGATGTCAAGAGCACTTTGAACGAGGTGCGATGGAGGGAAGCGTGTGCTTTTGATCTAATGCCATCCAAGGCAGGCTGAGTGCTTCGGGGAGCAGCCCCGCCAGCCTTTACCTGCACTCACGGCTGTCTCTGCAGTGAGCCCTGTCCCCACAGGGAGCACATGGGGACCCAGGGCCACCAGCTGGCAGAGCTGGATCTGAACCAGCACTGAGACCTGGCTCTGAGCTCTCAGCCACGACACCTGTGCTTCGACATGGGCGGACGTTTGGTGATGTTTTGTAACTTCAGAATTCTTGGAGCCACTTTAGGTTGTTTCTTTTGGGGGTGGGTGGGGTGACCTGGCCAGAGTACTCACTGGTTTATTCAGCAAGGGTCTGATGAGACTTCCCAATTACAGGCCCATGCCACAAGCTGGGGACATGGTGATAACAGGAGCAGGGCCCTGTGTTCAGGGAGCCGACAGTGTCAACCCAGGGAAACAGGTGGCAAGGCCGTCCACCTGTCTCTCCTCCGTCCTATCAGCCTGTGCCTAGTACTCTCAGCAGCCTTGGTGTTTCTGTACCCACTTGTGAGGCCGTCGGTGGGTAGGGATTCTGTCTGGGCACTTGCCAATGTGTCCAAGGTGTGGTGATGGCTCAGAGTGTGTTCTTGGAAGGATTCCTTCGTTTCTGAGACGCAGTATTTACAGGTGAAATGATGGTTGCGTGGGGAGGGAGCGAGTGTCACCCAAGGGGAGGATACTCAAGGCCGTGAAGGCTGTGGGGTTCGTCACAGCATCTGCCCACCTGTGCCTGGCTGCATGTTCATGCCTGGCGCTGGGTCCTCGCTCCTGTGACCTTGCACACAGCTTGCTTCCTTCGCAGGCCACTGTCCACTTGCTGCGCTCAGAAGGCGTAGAGCTAAATGACTGTCCCAGCCCCCCTGAGGACTTGAGCCAGCACGCGGCCGGCTACACACTCGAGTCCACAGAGGACAACGCAGAGTGGATCATGTACCGGTAGGCAGCCGCCACGTGGAGTGATGGGGCCGGATGTCCTCTGCCCTGCAGCTCTGCCCGTCCACTGAAAGGGCAGGTTTCATGGCCTGGGAGACAGGGCGCAGGGCACGGTGGCTGTGTCCAGACCAGGAGCGTGGTGTGGTGTCACGTGAGAAGAATGACGAGACTGGTTTTTCCTGTGTTTTGTAGTTCAGACTTGTGTTCGTTCTGGTCAGTCTTTCTCCTTACCAGTAAAGGTGTGGTGTTAGGGAGACCATGTGACAGTGGAAAATAGACAAGGAGTGGCTCTTCCTGTCTGCTTGGAGGAGAGGCTGTGACCAGCTGTCATTATGGAGCACTGCACAGGATGTCTGGGGTACAAACACTCCCTTTGTGCGGATGAGAAAGAGTAATTCGTATAGAACATTCCAGAAAACTTGCCCATATGAGATGCTAAGTACAAAAACAGTCATAAAATTGAGGTGCTGTATTAACAATGATGTCTTTTAGTATTTTAAAATCTAAAATTGAGTATTTTTGGAAGTGGACATGACAGCGAGTGAGTATTTTTATGTTTACGGTACAGTAGCTGATCGCTGTTTAACTGCTCCCCCACTAGAAGGGGAGGAGAAAGGCCTGTTTTACTGTTGGCTTTACCCGGGAAACAGGCTGCTTATACCCGCCTGCTCCCTTGCAAGAGTGGAGGTGGAGCCCTGGCCCATCTCCCTCTGCATCTGCATGTGGCAGGGGAAACCGCCAAGCCCTCGCGAGGCAGGGGGATGGAGAATGGGACACCAGTTCTGCGTGGATGACGTTTGTCTTGGTTTTAAGGTCGTTTCTCCCTTAGTCACCTTCAGAGTGTTGTGCAGAGCACAGCCCCGGGCCCTGTCCTCAGAGCCCGCTGCCACAGGCAAGGGGATGCACGTCTGTCTAGGGCCCAGGCCAAGGGTGGAGCAGAGCTGTCCACACCTGGTGGCCCTGCTTACAGTTGGAGGAAAGTCCGTGAACGAACCAGGGCCCAGGCCACATCTGACCCACAGCCTGGTTTTGCACAGCCAGCAAGCTAAGAGTGGTTTTGATATTTGAAAAATTTATAAAATAAAATAGAGAAAAATATGCAACAGAGACTGCATGTGGCTTACAAAGCCTGGAATGCTTTTTGGCCCTTTACGGGAAAGGTTTGTCGAACCCTGCTCCAGGGCTGACAGATGTCACATGCACACAGTGCTAAGTGACAAGGGCTTGCCCTGAGGATGTGGCCTGTGTGTGATGGGTGGAGGCCAGGGAGACTGGGCACAGGGGCAGGTGTGAGGGGCGGCTGCAGGGCTGGACTGGCAGCCAGGCAGGCCTCAGGCCAGGCGTTGGCCCACAGACGGGGAAGGTCCGGGGAGGTTTGCAGGTGAGGGAGAGAATGAGAGGGTCTTACTTGCATGTGTGGGCGCTCACAGAGGTTAGCAAGGGGCATCCAGCTGGGACATGGAAAGAGCTGGGCAGGTCCAGGATCCTTTAGGAGGGAATGCAGTGGGCTGCCCCTTTCTAACCCCCGGGCTCCACAGACAGGGGTGGGGCTGATCGCAGAGCCCACACTTATGTCTTTAATGCACATTTGGGCAAAGTCTTGTTTAAAGGAGAGCTGGACGGTGTGTGTTCTGCAGGAACTGGATAGAGAGTCTGTCGCAGTACGCCATGAGCAACTGGCTGCGGTCTGCCGAGATTGGACAAGAGATACGGGAGGCCTGGATCGTGCAGAATGCGGTGGTCTATGTCCTGAATCACAACCACCATCTCATCATGGCCGGGCGACAGAAAGAGCTTGTGGATGCCCTGTATCACCTCCTGAGCATCGTCAAGGCCATGGGCCATGGCGGGTGGGTGTGGCTGGCAGCCACTGCGTGTACTGATCACCCTCAGATTCAGGCCCAAGAGCTGTGGAGTCAGACATGTGTTCACTCTGGGGGGTGGTACCACTGGCGCCTGCTCCTGTCTTTAGTGTTGTCCTTCCCATGAGAGTTGGGGTCACTGTTGCCTGGTGCCTGATGGTGACAGAGCCATGGAGAAGCCTGCAGGGGCCACAGGGAAGGCTACTTAAGTCATCCCAGGGTCTCTGTTTACTGGTTGTGCACCCCTGAGCCAGTTATTCAGCCTCTCTGAGCTGCAGGGGGGCGTGTGGGGATGGATGAGAAGCTCAGGCCCATGCCTGGCACTGGCGAGGCCCTGACCCGCGGTGGAGCCCTCGTCCCCTCATACGGCCCTGCGGCATCGCCACAGCACCACTTCCCAGCCTGTCTCCCTCTGTTCCAAACAGAACAGTTGCAAGAAAGGTTTGCTAAGACATGAGTCACTCGGGAAAATGGAAGGAAAGAGCGGCTGCCCTGCAGAGCCCACTCTGTGTGGGGCAGGGTGGAGATCTGCGTCTGTGTGCTTCCTCAGCCAGGCGGTGGGACTCCTGAGGGACTGTTGTCACCAGCTAAAATCAGACACTCGAAAACACTGAGTCGGGTCAGAGTTTCACCTAACTAGGATGAAATTTTAAAACTCTCCTTGTGTGTTTTTCGTGGTTTGGCTTTTCGCCTGAACAATAAGATTTTAAATTTTTTCATCAGATACTGAAGTAGAAATGCTAGAATGAGTCAGAATGCAGCCATACGTGATGACTTTTTAAAGTTGTGGATGGTAAAGAAAATGGGCCGTGAAGGAAGGAGTTGCTTGGTGGTCCTCACCTCTCCAACGGGTGTGAGGCCCTGCGCAGGTCCCCATGGAAGGGGGGAGGAACTCAGCACCGTGACAGGCTCCAGAGACCAGCCCTCAGAAGCTGACCCTCTTCTTGTCACGCAGTCGCCCTGCATGATGCGGTTGTGGACAAAGATCAGACTTTGAATCCCTGATTCTTGGCGTACGGAGGCCAATTTTGACTATTTTAAATGTTTTAATACAATAATGTTTCTGCTGAGAAACATGAAGGTTCTGGTCTAAGCCCATTGGCTCTGGTAGCTGATGGAAATGCTTGGACCACTACCACGGGCCTGCGGGACGCCTCGTCCAGTCCCCACAGGACTCCCTGAGGAGTCTGGCCCACAGGACACAGGTGTCACTCTCTTAGTGTGAGGACCACCTGTGGCAGGGGACAGAGCCTTGTCACAGCCAGCTTCCTTCGTCCCTGGAAGGCCCTAGATTAGCTCCTTGAACTGGCCCTGGGACAGTGGGCAGCCAGCCTCCTGTTTAATTCCAGCAGATGGGAACCCAGTAAACACACTCTGACCTGGACTTCTGAGCACTCGCCCTGCCTCTGCTGAAATCTGCACGTGTGGCTTCATGCTGCTGCAGTTGACTGTGCTCCACCCGCCGATGCATTGTTTTCCAGGGACTCTGTGACGTTGGTGATGCTGTGCAATGCTTTGGCTCGAGGCTTGATTATCAACTGGATTCCAACCCAGACTCCAGAAAAATCTAGGAAACTTGTGCGACCAAACGTGTTTCATGCACCACTGGACTCGGGAGCCAGCTCTGAAGTGAGAACCGCAGTGGAGGTACAGCACCCTTGCTGTGTGTGAGGCCAGGAATGACGGGCAGCTAGCGAGGGGCTGGGCAGGCAGGGAAGAGCCTTGCCAAAGTTGGTGAAGGTGGTGGACGGGAGGGCAGTTTGGGAAGTGCAAGTGGCAGGATTTTCAGCTGCCCGGAAACAGGGTGCAGGGCAAGGAGCCAGGAGAAAACACACATTTATCAAAAAACGAGGAACCAAGACAAATTGAGGTGGGTGACAGTGTTAGGAGGGATGCCCTGCAAGGCGCGGGTTGCACCTCTGCTGGTATTCAAGCCGACAAACATAGGGATGCAAAGTGAGGAAATACAGACGACGCCAGCCATGAACAGAAACGCAGCGACACTGGATAAAAGGTGCATGGACAGGTTGTTTGGTGACCTAGTGGGTCGTCACCCCATGAAGGCCGTTTCCCAGGAAACGTGGGTTTTACTGTAGTAATTCATAATAAAGGAGGAGACGGTAATGGTCTCAGTGACGGGTGTGGAAAAGCGTTTGGGAATCCATCAGTCATTTTTAATTCAGAAGAATCTTAGTAAAGGTGGAAGAAAGCGAGTTCCTGAGTGAGTTTAGGGAATCTGCCAGAACCTGTGAGCAGACGTGAGTGCCAGCCAGGAGGAGCGCTTCTGGTGAGGAAGATGGAGAAAGGCCACCACTGCCACTGCTGTGGGTGTGGCCAGGTGCCCTGAGGGAGGGACAGAAAGCCTGGAGGAGAGCACGCTGTGTGGTTGGTCCTCTGGGGCCGTAAGGTCAGCGGAGAGGCCTGGCAGGCACCTGTGTGACATCAGAGGCGGGGTGCAGAAGGTCCTGGCGCTGCAGGGCCCCTCAGGGTTAGGGCTTCACTCTCAGAAGGAGAGGGGTCAGCACAAGGGACCTGCGGGGAGCTGGACCCAGGGCTGAAAAGCGGGGGAGGCTACTAGCTGCTCGGTAGGCGGGGCCACAGGGCAGGCCTGCAGGGGGGAAAGAGGGCGGAGTGGGGAGCCGGGGTTGGAGATGGCCCCATGTGGGCCACAGAGGGCAAGCCTGAGGCGGTCATTGGTGGAGGGTCCGACTGTGCAGCTAGAAGATCCAAGAAAGCACAGAATGGACCAGGAGTGACCTGTAATCAGGACATCCAATAGGAAGGGGTCTGGCCAACGCACTCATCGCACACAAAAGATGACAGAACTTGGGGACAAATGGTGCCATCCCATGTGGGGACCCCTGGGGGGCGCGGGGAGGGGGATCTCTGCTGGGTAACCTAGGAGTCAGGCAGCCCAGCGCCTTGCCACAGGGTGTTCTAGAGGAAGTAGACCAGCCCACGCGCAGGCTGATCCAGAAGGAACGGATGGAGGCGGAGAGGATGGGAAGGGCATTTTTTGCTTGTACATTTTGATGCCAGCTAAACTTTTGCAAGGGGCAGGTGTTCATGTTACACTTTAGGGGAAAAACAGACAAAATGGGGAGAGAGCTTGAGTGGCCTGCAGTTAGCACATGACCATGGTCACTCCTAGGGACCCACGCCTGCTGAGGGCTTTAGTGCGCCCAGCATGGCACAGAACAAAGCCCATATACTGGGTTTTATCCCTAAGGATAGGAAACCAAGACACAGAGTGAAGTACTTGCCCTCGTCACACAGGAGGCAATGCAGGGAGCTGGGATCCCAGCTTTTGGGGCTTTGGGTCCTCACCATGCAGCACCCCAGAACCAACACCAGCCACAGTGAGGGGGGCTGGTCTGTGCCCAGCGGAGGGCTTTACTGTGCCCCCCACTCACTGACCTGTGCCCTAGGTTCAGCAGTGCTGCAGGGTCGTGGTGATGACTCAGGGGGGTCTTGCTGCTGCTGGCACTGTAGCTGCCCCGGGGTGTGCTGCGTGGGGGTGGGGACATGAGAGGACACAAACCCCCACACCAGTGCCCCAGGAGCTTCTCAAATCGCAGGCCACCCTGCTCAGACAGGCTCCAGGACTGGTGCAAATCTAAACCACCGTTGCAGTCTGGACCACAAGCCCGGTCACCTTATTTTTAGTGATTTGGGTCTTGGCTCAGGTTTCTCTGTTTAGAATTCAGGTTTTGTGAACAAGGGCACATCCATTTTAGGTCTGCGAGTTTGCACTGAATCTGACCAACGGGTCGGTGCCCGAGGAGGCGGTGCCTGTCAACGCCCGGCAGCAGCTCATCGCCACCTGGGTGAAGGGCAAGCAGCTGCTGCAGCAGCAGATCGGGCCGCGGCTGGGCACAGACGAGCAGGTGCGGGGCGCCCGTGGTGGTGTCCAACGTCTGGGAGCACCCCAGGGGCTTGGGGAGGCTCATCCCCATGCGCTTGGACCTGTGGGGCTGACGTCCTTGCTGAAGTCTCCCCCTGAAGGGAGAGCAGGGCAGGCACCCCTGGGTCTCGCCAACCTGGACGCAGGACACGGTGGGGAGAGCTCCCTTCTCCTGTGAAAGGAATGTGTCCCCTCCAGGAAGGGCTGTCCCTGCTGAGGTCACTGCTGCAGGCCGTGGTGTCTACTCTTTCCTCCAGCTGACTGGCCGCTGTTCTAAACGTCCGCCAAGAGCGCTGGGCCTCTGGGGGTGCTGTCCACCCTCACGGCTGCTCACTGTGGCCTTATCTGGAGGTGCACTTGGGCCAGAGGGGCACCTCCTTGGTGCTGTGAACACAAGGATGTGGGAGTAGGGGGCTGGGGGAGCAAGTGGCACCCAGAGAGGAGAGGGGCAGGGCCAGCCCGCGGCATCTGCTTTCACAGACATGGGCTGCGTGGCTACAGACAGACCCACGGGAGACTCCCATGGGGGACCAGCTGGAGCTGGGACGTGCTGGTCCAGGCGGAAAGTGAGGCTGGCAAGGCTGTGGGCAGTCAGGGAGGGGCATCTGAACCGGGCTGGGAGTGGGGGTCGGATTAGAGCGGTAGCAAAGGGAGGGGACCCTGCAGGCAGAGGTCCACCCCACTGTGCCCTGCTGCCTGTCCTCCACTTGGGGCCAGTCAGCCTGGCCGTCAGACTGCCTCAGCGACGGCACCGCCTACAGCCTCTTTATCATGTGAAAGGCCACTGGAGATGAACATTGACACAGATAGCTCTGATTATGGCCACAAAGCTGGTATTTCACAGGGTTAAAGTCTGAGTATTCCAGTTCCTCCGTGCCACCCTTGGGCTGACAGACTCTATACTTCCTTCCCCTCAGAGTACTAATGAGGACATCAACTCAGTGACCAGAGTCCTTGTTGCTCTGGAGATGTATTCCTGCAACGGGCTGGGCCTCATGGACTTCACCGTGCCCCCCTTGGCCCAGGTGGGTGCCCCTCCCAGTATTACCTTCCAAGTGTCACCTCCCATCAAATGTTACCATCTCCCCAAGGTGTCATTTCCTCCCCAGGTGTCACCTTCCCCCATATTTCACCTTCTCTTCAGATGTCACCCCCCTCCAGGTGCCACCATCTCCCCCAGGTGTCACCATGCCCCCAGGTGTGACCTTTCCACTCAGGTGTCACTGTCCCCCTCAGGTGTCCCCTCCCCTACAGATGTCACCATCTCCCCCAGGTGTCACCTACCCCCCAAGTGTCACTTCCCCCCAGGTGTTGCCATTCTCCCCCTTGGCCCAGGTAGGTGTCACCAGGTGTCCTGGTAGGCATACCAGGGGCTGTGCACAAAGCCTCCCAAGCCGAAGCCACTTGTTCAAATCCCACTGTTCAGATAAGGAGCTGGGGTCAGAGGGCCTTGCCCAAGATGTCCAGAGTGGGGACCCTGCCTGCCAGAGTGGGCTTGTTCCCACCACAGCACTCATCTGCCTTCCAGTGGAGCTGGCGCTGTCCCCCAGGGCAGCTGGGTTTGGTCTCCCATGGGAGCTCCCTCCGTGCTCTCTCCAAGGCTCAGTGCAGGGCAGGGGAGCCTGTGCAGCCGCAGGCAGTGTAGACACTGGAGGCGTTTGTCACCAGACCTGCCTACCCCATGCCTCAGTTTACAGGTGGTGAGAGCAAGACCTCAGGCTTCGTGTGTTGTGCTGTGTGTGGGGTCCTTTACAAGTCATGGGTCTGTTTGGAGTGACGTGACAACAGTGTACGGCTCGGTGAACACTGCACCATGTTTAGGGTCTTACCCAATTAAATAGCCCGCCAGCTGACTGCACCGCCACCACCGCGAGGGTGTGCCAGCAGAGGTTCAATCCACTGACAGATGCCCCTTCTCTCACCCCTGGGAAGGTGGTGAAGATGGCTTGCGAGTGCAGCTGGTCGGATCCCCTGGTGGAGCTGCAGACCCTGACGCGCCTGACCCACTTCGCCTTCGCGGCCCATGACCACGAGATCACCATGGCGTGTTCGCAGAAGGCCATCCAGATGGGCATTAAGTGCCTGAGGATGTCCAATCCGTAAGTACTTCCCTCATGCCTGCCTTCTGGTGTCCGGATGCTGTGGACCACTCCCTGAGGGTCGGGACAGGTATGTGAGCGCGTTCATTGTCACGCGAGTGTGCGGGACTAAGGAACGACTCACATCCAGGTTACAGAGAGCTAGCACCAGACCTTCCCCAGGCCGCTGCTCATCTCGGCAAGCTTCCCATCAGCCCTGCCCTGTGCCCGTGCACCCCCACCTGCCAGCTCCCTCTCGGCCGGGCTGACCCTGCCAGCTGTCCCCCTGGAGAGCTGTGTTCAGAAGGATTCTGAGGCCACACAAGCCCCACTAGCCATGAGTGCGACAGGCTCAGAGGTGGAAAGGGGCTCGCAGATCACCCATGTGCCGTTCCCGACAGATGCGCGGCTTGTGTGAAGAGTTGAGAATAGGCAGCATAGGCACACTGGACGAATTCAGACGTGTTTAAAGGGCGGCTGCAGTGGAAGGGAGGCAGTGCTCCGGTCTCCCGGCACAGCCACAGGTGCTGCCTCTTGTCTCCACGCTTCCAGACGGCGCACAGGCTCCATTCAGCTGGTCAGCACTTGTGGGACTTTCTCTTCCCCCTGTTTTGAATGTGAGGCTGTTTTAAATTTGTTTCTGTTATAAACACTTCTGTGGTCAAGACTATTTTCCTTGAGGTTCTGCTCTTCTTTTCGGCTTATTTTCTGAGTCTGTTTCTTGAAAGAGAAATCACTGACCCAAGGCTGTGGAGACATCGCTGTGGCCCCACAGCAGGTCTGCTTGTCCAAGGCCACATCCAGGGGCGCCTCCCAGCCAGCATCCCCAGCCTCGGGCCACGTCCCAGCCTCGCGGCTGCCTCCCGAGTGAGCTCCCAGTGCCTCTGTGTGGTCTGAACCCCCAACTGGCACGAGGCCGCTTCTTCATGCTGGTCTCCTGCCTTGCCCCACTGAGCCCCTACACCAGGTCCTTGCACCCGGGCATCCTGTCTGAGGAGACAGGGCGTGGAGGGAGGGCCCTGGTAGAGACGTGCACTACCGCAGCCTGGCCGCCACAGGAGTGCCACCCTGAGGAGGGCTGGGTTACTGTAGTGTGTGTGGCCATAAAGTCCTGCTCAGGGACTACAGTCTCAGGCCAACACAGGAGGTGGCAGCGCGGATGAGAAGGTGGCCCTGCAGGGAAGGAGTCTGGATGGACTCCCACGACCGTGGGCTGGACGACTCTGTCAAGGCGGGGACGTCGCCGGGCTCGGGGAGCCTGGAGCTCACGGCAGCACCTCCGGAGGCCCAGGGCTCAGTAGAAGCAGATGCATAGGTTTCTGGGAAAATGTTCAAGCTGTGGACATCTGTCGGGATGGTGTGGGGCTAGACGTGCTTTCCCTGCAAGAGGGGAGGAAGGGCCAGCAGGCAGAGGGCGAGGCCTGCTGAGACTCGTAGGAGCTAGCGAGTCTGTGAGCACGCGGTCGACTGCGCCCTTGAACGAAGTGCCGCGTGTTCCCCGAGGAGAGCCCGATGGCGAGGGCAGGGACTTCCCTCACAGAGCTGTGGGAATGCCAGGACGTTTCCATGCGAAACCAGAGGTAGCTGAAGCAAAGCCGTGACCGAGCCTCCAGCCCGTGGTTTCTCACTGCAGCATGGGCTTTTCGTCATGAGTGACCCTTTCTCCAAAGCAGTGTAGACCCTTCTGGTGGCGTTTATGTTTGACCTCTCTTGGTCAGAGGCTAGAAGTTATTTTTTTGTTTTTGTTTTTGTGGTTTTTTTGTGAGGAAGATTGACCTTGAGATAATATCTGTTGCCAATTTTCCTTTTTTCTCTTCTTTTTTTTTTTACTTGAGGAAAATTGTTGCTGAGCTAACATCTGTGCCAATCTTCCTCTATTTTATATGGGATGCCGCCACAGCATGGCTTGACAAGCAGTGCTAGGTCCACACCAGGATCTGAACCCTTGAACCCCAGGCCGCTGAAACAGAGTGTGCAAACTTAACCACTTGGTCACTGGGCTGGCCCTTAGAGGTTATTTTTCACAACAATCCATAATGAGAATTACTTTGCTTCCAAAAGGAAAAGCTCCTAGTCTTTCTAATGTCCCACCCCAGCCTGATGACACAGAAGATGTGGGCCCAGGGTGGGTCCTTAGCCACACAACCCAGTGACTGCCAGGAGACGGTCCTCTGCCGGCCTCGGCCCACTCAGGTGCCGACGTGCTGAGACTGGGCGTGCGGAGCCATGCTGCAGAGAGCACCTGGCCGCCTGGCAGGACTCCCAGCAGCGGTGGGGACTCAGGGTCTTTCTGGAAGCCTTGTGTTCTGGCATTGGTGTCCCCCGCCATGTCAGCTCTCCACCAATCACTGTACAGCTATGCCTGTCAGCAAAGAAGCCAGACCATGCACCTGAGCCCCACCAGCATCTCAGCCACACTCACAAATACGAACCGAGGCTCCGCGGGCTTCTGAGAAGGACTTTCAGCTTTAAAGAAAAGACCAAGTTAAAGAAATAGGGAAAACTACTCTGGAAGAAACAGATTATGCAACGATCAGAAGAGGGCGTTAAAAAACCCTCAAAGATATTCGAGAAGATATGGCATTTAAAAGTTAAAACTTAGTGTTGTGAGAAAGGAATAATTGGGGACTAAAGGCCTCTTGAAAATTAAAGATGATTTCTAGAGTTGAAAATAAAGTCAGTGAAGTGTTAGAAGGTAAAGTGTGAGGAAATCTCTCAGGAAAAAGATGAAAAAAGACAGAAAATGTGACAGAAAAGCCAGAAGATAATGTGGGAACGATACAGGAGGTCTTAATCCAACTGTTGGGATTCCAGAAAGAATAAAGAAAGCGATCTTCAGAAAGGAACATGAGAAAGGAGTCATACAGGAGAGCTTCCCAGAGCAAAGGATGCCGTCTCATGATCGACCTCCCCCAGATGCCCAGCCAGAAGGATGAAGAGACGCCCACCTATAGACACATTGTGGGGATACATCAGACCACCACAGATAAGGAGAATGTCCCAGAGCTTTCAGAAGAAAGATGTTTACAAAGGAGCAGGAAATAGAAACGCATCAGTCTTCTCAAAAACCACCACTGGAAGCTAAAATAAAATGGAGCACTCTAAGTGGAAATAATTTTCAACCTACAATTCTAACTCACCCAAACTTTCCGTCAAGTATATGGGTAACAGAAAGCCATTTTTAGACAGACAGGGACCTAGAGAATGTATTTCCCACACAGGTGCTTTTAGAACGTTACTTGAGGACATGCTCCAGAAAAACAACAGAGTAAACAAAAAAAGAGAAAGATGTCAGATACTGGAAATAATAGATTCAATCCAGAAAAGTTGTCAAGTTGTGCTGCTTGCTGAGACAGCCATCTGTCTAAATTGGAGCAAGATGAAGGAAGGCCCTGGGGGGTGGGGGCAGGGAAAAAAGAGGACAATGTTATGAAGAGTTTAAAAGGTTTTGTGATAAAGGAAAATAGTACAATGGAGAAATTACCAATTGGAAAATCCAGGAAACACAAACATAATTATAGCCTGACTCTTCAGTGAAAAACATTATGGGATATGGTGTTCATTGATATTCTACTTTTAGGATTAACATTCTGACAAAGAAGACTTCTTTGTGGTTACTTAACAAAATATAAATGTTATCAATGTTTTATTTGTTATTTTTAAATGTATTTTATTGAGGTCACATTGGTTTATAACATTATGTAAATTTCACGGGTACATCGTTATATTTTGACATCTGTATAGATTGCACTGTGTTCACCACTAAAAGTCTAGTTGCCATCCGTTGCCGTACGCTTGTGTCCCTTTACTCCCTTCACCCTCCCCCACCCCCTTACCCTCTGGAACCACCAATCTGTTCTCTGTATCTGTGTGTTTGTTTATCTTCCACATATGAGTGAAATCATATGGTATTTGACTTTCTCTGACTTATTTTTTTTTATCATAATGCCCTCAAGGTCCATCCATATTGTCACAAATGGCATGCTTGTGTCTTTTTTTTATGGCTGTGTAGTATTCCATTGTGTATATATACCACATCTTCTTTATCCATTCGTCCCTTGATGGGCACTTGGGTTGCTTCCAAGTCTTGGCTATTGTGAATAATGCAGTGATGAACACAGAGGTGCATATATCTTTTTGAATTAGTGTTTTCATGTTATTTGGATAAATACCCAGAAATGGAATAGCTGGATCATATGGTATTTCTATTTTTTAAGTTTTTGAGGAATCTCCATACTCTTTTCCATAGTGGCTGTACCAGTTTGCATTCCCACCAGCAGTGTATGAGGGTTTGCTTTTCTCCACATCCTCTCCAGCACTTGTTATTTTTTTCTTGGTAATTATAACCATTCTGACAGGTGTAAGGTGATATCTCATTGTAGTTTTGATTTGCATTTCCCTAATAATTAGTGATGTTGAACATCTTTTCATATGCCTGTTGGCCATCTGGATATCTTCTTTCGAAAAATGTCTGTTCATATCCTCTGCCCATTTTTTGATTGGATTGCTTTTTTTAAAAAAAAGATTTTGTTTTTCCTCTTTCTCCCCAAAGCCCCCTGGTACATAGTTGTATATTTTTAGTTGTGGGTCCTTCTAGTTGTGCCACGTGGGACGCCACCTCAGCATGGCCTGACGAGTGCTGCCATGTCTGTGCCCAGGATTCAAACCAGCGAAACCCTGGGCTACCAAAGTGGAGGTGCTAACTTAACCATTTAGCCACGGGACCAGCCCCAGGTTGCTTGTTTTTTTGTTGTTGAGTTGTATGAGTTCTTGATGTATTTTGGAAATTAACCCCTTATCTGATATATAATTTGCAAATATCTTCTCCCAGTTGGTAGGTTGTCTTTTCATTTTGTTCATGGTTTCCTTTGCCATGCAGAAGCTTTTTATTTTGATGCAGTCCCATTTGTTTAGTTTTTCTTTTGTTTCCCTTGCTTGGTGAGACATGGTATTTGAAAAGATGCTGCTAAGACCGATGTCGAAGAGCATACTGCTATGTTTTCTTCTAGGAGTTTTATGGT